TTTTGGAGATGGGTTAAGGATGTATTCTTCAGAGTGTCTGGTAGACTTGCTTTTCAGACCGAGTGAACAACGGCTTCTCTCATTCCTGTGCTGTGGGTGTTTTGCCTGACCAGCTAAAGTCACTAGTAGCAGCTGGACAGGACACACTCTGCCTGCCACCAAAGACTGAGGGAAAAGAAAGGTGGATGGAGAGAAGGGGAGACAGATGCGGGGGAGAAAGGCAGACAGGAAAGGTGACAGCAGACACCACGCTGTGGTGGGGCCAACAGATGCTCGTTTTATTTCCTGTATAACTTTTGATGTCAACTGTGGTTGTATGCTGATGGTAATGACATACATGATACGGTTTGTGTCAGTTTGATCAAACAGTGCACTCTCTATTTGTGTGACACTGTTAGATCAGTGTCACCTAAACTAGTTCGTATTCGTTAAAAGACATCGGACTTGTTCCACAAGAGGTGTTACAGTTTAGAAGTTATGATGGATATCTTTAGACGGTGTCCTGGAAATGACTCATGATGTTGCACAGAAGAAGAGGCTAATTCGATATTAATGCACAGTTTTTATCTGAAAACTGGCCCATGGGACAAATTATGAACATTTTTCAGGGCTAAAATAGGTTGTGGTGAAAGGGGAGAGGTGACAGGAAAAATGGGTGGAGCTTATCCTCTGACAAAACACACATTTAATGTATTTGATTCACAAATACTTTTATTACTAGTTCGCTTTGTCTGAAGTGTATAATTCCTCGTGTTTATGCGCGATCATGTTTGGTCCTTTGCTGTTCACACTTTGGCTTTGCAGAGAATCTTTAGTTTTTGCAACACTATACAGCGAATTGTTTTTTTATAGTTCGTCACTCTGACCAGAACTGCGCTAACACAGGAAGCACGATGAATCCTGTAACCCGCTGCTCTCATGGTGTCACACCTTTCCTTATATGAAATAAAATGAACCAATAACATGATAACATCTTAGCTAAGCCTTGTCACTGCATAGATCGTTTTTTTAATGAAACACACCAAGACTTTAGTGAACAGACACCCTTGTTTCTCAGCTTTTTTTGTAAAACATTTGCCCATTTATCCAACAACATGTATTTTGGAGCCGGGGGTTTCGGTTTTCACTTGACTCAGTCTTCCTCTAAGTTTTAAATATTTTCTGTGGAAACTTAGTGTGATCATCCATGCATCCCCTGGGAGCATGACTATTTGCTGTATTTTTCATTGTTGAAAACATTAGTTGTCGATATACTTTGTCATGAGAACATTTTGCCTATGATAATTGGCCAGAGACATCATCATCTTCTGGGAATAATAAATATCACTGGCTATTTCCACACAGATCTGGTGACTTTTATTTGTTATTTTTTTGCTTAGGTTTCGTACAGATTTGCAACCAACTGGCTGATCTTGCCTTTTTGTACAAAAACAAAACCAATGTCACCGTGAATGTCCTACTTTTCTATCCATGTGTTGCTCTTTTCTCCCATAAGTCTCTCTGTTCTGCTGTATTTTTAAACAATTACAAAATCACATCATTGGCCAGCAGCTGTTGTAATCTTTTGGCAGTCTCCCAGAAAGACGTGTGTTTTTCTTTGTTTGTCTGGCAGTTGTTTGTTATTCTCCATGTGTGAGGGGAAAAAGTGAGTTGAAGTGCCCTCGGACGTGTTTGTGGGAGTGAGGCGTGCTGACATGGTTTGGGAGGGAATAGGCTTCGGCCCGCTGGGAGGAAAAGCGAGGGGGGTTAGGCGGGGGTTGACGTACTGATGCACCACAGGTTTTTGCCATTAGGTCTGGTGGTTTTATCGCTATAGTAAGACCTTACCGTATTTTAATATATGTATCCTTTCAGTAAGAGTTAAAGATAATCTTTTTGGGTTTGTAGTAAATTCACGAGAAACAAGAGCATAGCAACATAAAGTCCAGGCTGAGGCTGTCTGTGAAGAGTTTGGGATTTATCTCTTGAGAAAAACATGGTAATAATAAATTCTCTGATGTTTTCCTCACAACAAGGAGAGGGAAACTATGCCATACATGATCTCTGGCTTTATGCTGATCCAACATAGGCTTATTTGGCGGCACAGAAAGAGAAAACAATAGCTATGTGTTCTGAGCAACAAAAAAAACCCCAAACCCTTTCCCCCTAGCTGTACCCCACCGCTGAGGCGCTGTGTTTTTGGAGTCAGTTGGAGAGTTTAACATTGTTATCAAACTGTCTTTCACTTGGAACATTTGGAAATAATTAAAGTCTATCTGATTGCTGTTGGCAGCCTTTGCGTGTTTAGTGTGATGTGTTTGAAATGTGAGCGGGCCTTGGCTGGCACAAGCCTGTGAGGTCTGACCCCAAGAAAAAAAAAATACTTGGCCAAACTCTTTCTCATAGTGTACTTGACCTTCTAATGTAAAAGTGCTGTTTGTTACCTCACTCGGAACAAATTCTCTTGTACCACCCCGAGTCCCACTTGAGGTTTGTGCATCTGCAAACTGCACCCTCATTGTTTTTAAGTGGGTCATACTCACTTAAAACGTAAAGGAAATTTATAGCATAGGAAATTGTCAGGCTGCGGTTAGGTTAGTTAACCACCACAAAGGTTGTGGCCTATGAATAGAAGTTGCATATCATGCAAGAGTGTGAATGGTAAGTGCAGTCATGTGAATCTAAACGAACCATTGTGCCGGTCAAGGAATTGCAGCATTAATGGATGATAGAAATGTTCATTATAGCTGACTGTGCAGAAGAGAAAGCATAGCCAGACTGACTGAACTCCGAACATCTACTGGAAAGTAAAAGAGATATGTGTACATCCAGTTCCCCTGTTGCCAAAAACTTATTAATGTGAACATTTAATTACTGAGAGTTGACAGTTGTATGACATGCTTTAAAAATGATGGGGAAACCAAGACAAAAATCCTTATATAAATGTCTTTAATTTTGTATACTGGGACAAAAGGAGGTACCCTAAAAGTAAATGATGATAAACAATAATAAACACTGTTTTATATTTGGTAGTTTTTTGAAACAAACAAACAAATAACTGTGCTTAAAATCCACTGCTTCTCTAGTGAGTCTCTTGTCCTGTCACTGAACTTCAAATTCATTTTCTTGGACTGCAGCTGGCGACAGTAGTCCCTGTCCTTCTTCGCAGCCTCATAGCTTTACTTAGTCCTGGTAAGAATGGCCCTCCAACTCAAAGTCAGTCCCCAGAGCAGAACAAGGACTACTGATATCAGCTGCAGGCAGTGGAATTTAAGGGACAAGGCGTTCTCTAGAGCATTACTGGTTACCACCAGGTGAACTTTAAAATAAAAAGTGAGAGGGTTGTCTGTTCGTGGATGGCGTTGTTCTCTCAGACAGATAAAACAAAATAAAATAAAAGACTAAAAGAATAAAGGACTCCGAAGACACTTGGCCAGCCCAGGTAAAGTCTATGTGTGGGAACAACTTGGGCAATAAGCAAATGGACTAAGGTGGTGACTATGGTCTGTGAATCCCACAGAAGGCCTATATCTTTCAGCCAGTCAGTAAATGCACGATCTTCTAGCAGTCCGTAAGGAGCCCAGTCAGCTGGGGGCCTTCTTTGTTGGATTTGGATGGCTTCACTGTGTCTGCATGGGTTTTCTGCTGCAGTCTGAAAACATGCAGATTGGGTTTACTGGTAACCTTAAATTGCGCACTATGTGAACATGAGCATGAACAGTTCTTTCTCTACATCTGTATCTGATCCAATGTCAGTTAGCATTGGCTCAAACCACACTGTGGGCATCAGGTTAGGATGATATCAACTACAAGGGATGGTTCGCAGTAAATAAGACTTCCGATTTTAAGAATAGAAAGATTTCAGATTTCAGATCGGTAAAACCTACTGACTGACCTTAACAACAATTAGTTTATGCAGTTTTGTTACACCACAAGTGTTCACCAGATGTTTTGATTGTTCAGGAAATTGCTCTTTTCTTGCTGACATATGCAAAGTTGTAAAGTATGAACTAAATCATTACTGTAGACCTTTGCTCAGACTCTAAAAGATGTGGACTGCAAACCCTGGTTCTTGTTGAATGTTAAATGTAACCATTGCAGGAAATCGGTGAAGTTACTTTAGGGCATTTATATTTAGGGATGATGATGCTTTTGTGTTTCATGTTACTCAGCATACATACAGTTAGAGTGCATAACATGGCACCATTTAGAGGAAAAACCTAGACTGTAGGGGAATCAGAAAAACAAATGTATCCAGTCATTCTACTGACATGTAGTTTTGTTTTTTTGTTTTTTTTTGTTTTTTAGCATTTGATGATTGTTAAAAAGTTTCACCTCATAAAATCCAATTTTAGCATTAAAAAAAGTCAAGCTAAACCACCTGTGGACTACAGTGGATGAGAGGTTGGAGTACTAAGTTATGCGCTCACACTAAAAAGGTTAGTAAGGTCTAATAAACAGACATATCTGACAATAAATGCTCAGTAACAGACTAATAATATAGAAGCATTTTACTAACAAAAAAACTGGAGCACAGGCTACTTACGTATTATTGGCCAGATTATCCTATCAGATATTCTCCAAGAGGCACCGACAGCATAAACAGATGAAATATATTGTTCTGTGAGGACAAGGTGGCAACTACAGCTGCCTGTGTCAAGATTAAAAAACAAAAATTTAACTTTAGTAAGTTAAAGTGAATGAATAATTTTTAAAAAAAGCTTCCTGTGCAGTTATGAAGGAGACATTTAAATATAGAGAGGTAAAATGCTTTTGTAATAGGCTATAAATAGGATTTTTCTGCTGTTAAGCTGTGCTTTTTGACATACAAGTCTATGGGGTATGGCCTGCTCAAGTGGCCACTTGAGGGACTGCAGTTTTTGTCACTCATGGGTTAGTTTCCCTTTTAAGCCCTCAAGAATGTTGCTTGGATTTAATTGACAGCAATATATGAGGCTCTGAATCATACACATGCTTTAATATTTATTTTTATTGCAAGAATCGTTGTTTCTCTGCTGCAGGACCGCTGTTTCGCAGCCCATGTGAGTTGCTGCCAGTGGGGACGGGACACCCAGTGCAAGCCATGCTGAAGAGCTTCACTATCCTGTCAGGGTGTGCAAGCAGGGGCACCACCAGCTTGCCTGAGGAGGTCCACATCATCAACCTGAGAGGACATGCTCATGAGGGACCAGACAACTCTCCAGTAAAAGTGAGTCATCCTTAGTCAAAGAACCTGAAACTTAAATTGTCTTAAGTTAACCTGTAAATGCTTTAATGTTGATCAAAATTTAGTAGGCAGAGAAAGTATATTCATAGATTTATTTATATTAATTTTTCAATTTAGCAAGAATTTCAAATTAGAAGTGACCTGCCATAAGCTGGATGAAGATTGTAAGACCTGCTGTGGTTGATATTTCCACTGCCCTAGTTTTCTCAGTTCTGATAATGGCTGCAGTTATTTTCCATTTTACTTCAAGGAGACTTCTTGGCAAAAGTGAACGCCTTTTGTATTTTATTGATTCCACTCATTAAACAAAAAACAAAAACAGTGTCAGACATTATGATCAGGTGAGCTTTCAAAGAAACACCTTTTTAGCGTGAGTAATTAACAAAGTGATAAGTAATTTAAGCACCTGGTATTTTCCCACCATTTGCCTCATTTAAACTCATTTAAACTGTCAGCACATCTACCGATAGTGTTCCTGTATTTGATGTTAATTGTAAAACCGCTCCCTATCTTCGGGTGTTAAACGGCACATCTCGTGGCTGGAGTCCCAATCATCAGCAATAGTTTGGAGATGAATCACAGGCCCACGTCCTTCAAAACACCGGTGTCTAGGTTTTAAACCTTCATCCCCCTCTGTTAGAGAAGTGTGAAAAGCAGCATGTATAGACTTGTCATTGCAGTTGTGTTGCTGATGTAAGCATTAGTGTTGCCAAGGCCAAATGTACAGAAGCACAGTGTGTGTGTGGGTATGCTTCATCAGCACATAAATAAAGAAATGTTATTTGGGTGGCTGAGAGGGAAACATTTAAATAGCTGTGAAATGGAAACTTATGCATATCTTGACACTTTATGTCTTATTATAGACGTTTTAGTCATCGCTGTCGGTGGACACTTCACATTGGTCGTGAACTACTCACGAGACGAGAGCTGCGTACGTCACACACACGATAAAAGGAATGACTCGGCCAATAACAAAGCTTAAACTGAACTAAAACAACTGAAGCCTCACCTTTAAGGAAAAATGTAATGTAATATTAAACCTAAAATGGTGCAATGTCGAAAGAATTTATGTTCCTTTATAGTGACTAGCAGAGTTTACATTGCGAGTCTTGAAGATAAACATTATTATCCAGTTGATAAGTTACCGAGTCAGTATTTATGGAAAAAATGATGGACTTCAGTATTACACGTGCACGTGGCCTTCACAGTCAGAAACTACACTGGATCACTGTAATTGTAATAATTTGAACCCCAAATACCAGGGATTACCATAAGCGCGATGCAAATTGTAGCTGCTCTTATTTATGAATTTCTGTGGAATCATTTAGTAGATTTTTTTGGATGTGTCCTGCAAAGTTTGAAGGCTTTGCTCCGTTTCATCTACTTCCCGATTTACTGTGTCAGGGTGGATTATGATTACATGCAGATAGATATTGTATTCACACAGAACAAACTGAACTGGGTTTTGTCTTCACCTGCTGAAAGTTATGATTGTTGGCCTTAGCACATTCCTCACCTTAAGGTAATTCCCAGACCAACTGATTGGCGTTTTAATAGACAGAGTGCAAGTCAAAGTATGCCTAGTATGGATTTAAGACTCACATGACAAAGAGCGTTCCTGTTTTAAGCTTGAACAGACTTGTATGGAAAATCAAACAATCCTAACCATATTTTATCTGCTGTGAAAGTTGCTCGCAACCCACAAGACTGACTGTTTAAATCTTGTTGTCACTTGCTCTCAGGAGATCTTTCTGCACGTCGTCATCGACCAAATGATGACTCATAAATACAGTCAAACAGCAATGTCTGCTAGAACTAATTTAGCACACCTTTGGTTTCCTTATTCGATATATATCCTCATTTGATATATATCCTTATTTTCAGCTGACTTTATTTATTCTAAGTTCAAGATCAGTGAGAAGTCCATCACTAAACATCACCAGTGTTGAATTTCTACTAGCTTAACTACAGTTGGATTATTCTGTAAGTGGTGTACAAAAGTTGAATGTTATTCTAATTTGCTGTATTTAAAACTACAGCTTTATAGCACAGTAAAGGACTTAGTTACAGAGTCTGTGAAACGCATCACTTTATCTAGCTTTCGATCACCCATCACCTCCATGGTCAAGTGAGGACTAGCGCGGAGGAGGGAGAAATCCAGCTGTCTGTTCCCCTGCCTACAGCCTTGGCTACAGAAGGTCACGCCAGGTCTGGTTGAGATTAGGTGGCCCTACAGAAGCTCACTCTGTTACTGGAGGTTTCTGCTTATGATTAGATAAGATATCCTAAAGGACACCCAGACCCTCTACCCACTCTGGTCCTTGATTTTGTTTCCACCTGAGACGTGGGCACAGATTGGCCTGTTCAGATACAAGCAGCTCCTGACAGCCTTCAACAGGACCGTGTTGGAGGGCAAACAATGCGTCAGACTATGGTCTTATTGACACAATCTGCCCCTGATCTTTTGTGACCGGAGGTGGCAATAATCCAGTGAGAAAATAGAAGTGAAATAAGGGGATCTTAACATCCCAGTCTGCATTTGGGCAAGGATGTTCTTACTTAGAAGGCTGTTGGAGAAAAGACCTCATTGGTCTTCATTAATAATCCTTGACCACAGAGCGTCTAAACCCTTTACTTCTTTCAAAAAACAAGTAAAGTTGTAAAAAAAGAACTCTTTTGAGTTTTCAGCAGTAATACTGTTTGGCTTAAAAGGTGGAGCATGTAGGAAAATAGCTGTAGTCAGCTTGGCTTCCCAACAGTTACTGTGATTTCCAACACAAGACAACATCCTGGTTTTGTGGCAAAATAGAACTCCCACATGAAGCCTTCAGACCACTCTTGCAGCGTAATCAGTTTCTCCTCTGTGCATCTGCGGTTTTTGTCCAACATATTTTAGAAAATTATGGCTAAATACAGCAGCATTGTTTATTGACAGTACAGTAATTCAGATATGTTAACTGTCAGTGAAAAGACTGTAGTAGTCCTATTATAAGACTCTATTTTATGTTAAGATACTAAGGAAACTGGGACTGATGACTGAAAAGCAAGTAAGGCCTAATTTAAAGTTGGAGTTCAGTTTTAGTGTATGAATATATTTCTTGTCATTGAATTTGAAGGATTGCGCATTTATTTCACTCTAATTAATTGATCATTTCCTGAGTATGCTTTAGTGTGTTTCCTTTGCTTATTTTCTAAGCCTTCATGAAGGCGCCTGGTCAATGCATGGTACTGTAGACCTTCTCTGAGGTTTCCTCCACACCTCAGCGGATAGGGGACGAGGTTGTGACTGGGCTGCAGTACAGTCTGTATTTGGATGTTTTGAATGTGTCGTTGTGAAGCTTCAGCTTCTGGAGAACACAATGTGCCCCGGTGACTCCTAATAAGTGTCTGCTCAGCTAAGGCTTGACCAGGTAGTGGAATAAATCTGCTATTGCACATGGTGTGCATGGGCTAATATGGACAAGGGAGATTGCATGGTCAGTTTCAGACACTTTTATACACACATGTGTACAGTCGCGCAGACATGCTGCAGCTGCAGTGTGTGAGGCCTGCTTCACATCTCTTTCACGCCCATGTGTAAAAGTCATGGCTTGCAGTTTGTCTATGTTTTCAGTAAAGACATGAAAGCAATGAATTGTTTCCTGCCTGTACCAGTGAAACCATTCTTTATGGGTATTAACCAGTAGGTATGAACTGCTACTCATTGAAAGAAAAGGCACAGCTGGACCTGACTCACAATACACACTTTGGCTTCTGGCCAATCTCACACTAAAGCCGAGCTATTAAGTGCAACAGAACACCTCAGTAGTGACTGTGCAAAGTGCTTCGTCTGGATAACGTGACATTTGCAGGGATTGCTTTGACTGTACAATAACAACCAGAGGTTGACAGTATGCTAATCACTCATTTAGGAAGACTGAAGCTAGAAATGCATACAATGATCTGATTTTGAATGATCTGCGAACTTTGCGTTCAAAGTGATAAAAGTATACCTATCTGTGCTCCAAGTTTCAGTTTGAATTATCATTTTTGATTACTGACACATCCAAAAGAAGAACAGACTCTCACTGGCATTTATTAAAAGCACTCTTGATTTATATTACAAGTGACAAAAGCTGTTTTTATATCAACATAAAATCCTCTGGTTTGAAGGAGACTCTTCAATCATTAGACTGCCATAGCATATACAACCAAGTCAAGGCAGTTTTTTGTACCAGCCAAAAATGACAAATCTTGCACAAACATGCCAAGAATGTGTAACTCTGTTGTTGACTGGAAGACATCCAAGAAGAGTTGGTAAATTAGTGAGCCTGTCGTCTGGTCAGTCTGTAACTTTGGTACAGATTAAAAGTTCACGTTTGTGACGGCTTTCATATCTCTCAGCGCCCTGCCACCATGATGTAGAAATTTGTAGGTTTTGATAAAATGTCAGAACTTTTGTGCTTTGAGTGGCCAAGAGATTTTCTCTGCACATTCTTGGTCATATCAGGATACACTATTACTAATTTACGAACCTATTATTTTCATCTAGGAAACACTCTACCCATTACGCTATCGACTCATAAGTGTGTTTCTGCTTACGTTTGCAGATTAGCAGTAACCATGTTAGCATGGTTACTGTGATCATGTTTGCAGCTGGGTAGAAATTTGCTTCCAGGAGATTTAGTTTTTTGTTCATTATTATTTAAACAATTTAAAATTACAGAGTAATCAGTGGTTCATCGCTCCAGTTTGGTAAAGAGTCATTTATTTATATTTCAGCAACTTGAACCATTTGCCAATAATTTCTTTTTAAATGTTACCCCACACAATGGGTGCTGAGCAGTGCCAGGCCACATTGGGTAGAATATGTGCGATGGTTTAACTGAGCTACTCTGCAATTTCAAAGTAACATTTTTGATCTGGATTTGAAATCTAAGCCACCCCCCCAAACTCTGTTTTTTTAATTCAGTGTTTGTCTTTAACAGTAGGCTTTGTTTCAT